CTAATGCCCACCCGGTGGGGCCCCGCGAATGCCCACGCTAATGCCCACCCGGTGGGGCCCCGCGACCGCGCGAGGCCTGCAGATGGACTCCTACCCCTGAGCGCTGTGCACTCCGTCTCGGGGTCAGCGTAGTTCATCTTGCTGTTGAAGTCCACGTGAGATAAGCACTCAGGGCAAACACAGTCCTGTCAGCCGAGTTGGCAAGACCCCGCGTTGCAAAAGAGCTGTGGGAAGCCCGGCGTGTGGCAGCCTGCCCTGCCCTGCCCTCCTGGGGGCCCTGGGCCGGCGCCGTGAGCAGGTAGTCAAGGGCAGGAGCAAGCGCTTGTGTCCAGCGTGAAGGGACCGCGGGCTCCGGGCGCTGAGCTGGGGGGTCACCCCTCTGCATTGTTTATTATCCTTGCCCGCCCCTGACGACATTGTGCAAGATGCGTGTTATTTGCTCCCACGGAGTACACTGCTTGCACAAATATTAGCAGAGTACCCTGTGTGCCAGGGCTCACGCGGGCGCCGGGGTCAGGGCAGGGGCCAGGAAGGCCGGGTCCTTGCCTTCCCGGGGTGGTCACGGTGCTGCCATCTGCAGGCCCTGCCCCCTCCTCCACAGCACCCAGGGCCCACCGTCCCTAAAGACCGTCCTGCCTTCCAACACGGCAGATCCAGAAGCTGGTTCCTCTCCATCTTCTCCAGTGGCAGCGTTCCCTGGCAAGGACAGTCTTTCTGGAAGTGGAAGGGGACTGCAAGTATTTCCTTCTGAGCTCCTTAAATAGAGGGGTCATCGCCAGCTGCCCTTGGCTGGTTTGGAGACAGGCGGACGGCCACACTCGTCCCCCGCTGGTAGTGCTCGGGGTTGCTCCATGGACCCGTGGCCGGCCTGGGCCGGGGCCGAGCACAGGAGGACGCGCCAGCTGCTGCGTCCCAGCAGAGGGCAGACGCCTGTGTCTGCACGTCGGAGGTTCCCCGGTGTCGCGTCTGAGCACGGGAGCCCCTGCAGGCTCGCTGCGGTCTAGAGAGTAACCGCGTGGTGAGGCTGTTTCTGGGGAGGGGCTGGGCACGGAGGTAGTTGATCTGAGTGGCCCGAGGACCGGCGGCGGGCAGGTCCGAAGGAAGAATGAGAGGGAACTCCAGGGGCTGGGTATGGCAGCTGGGGGCGGTGACCAGAAAGAGGGTCCTTGCTGCAGGAAGGGGGAGGGAGCTGGTGCCAGTGGGGCTCTTGGGAAACCCTCTTTCTGGGCCGCCGTGGGGGGCATTTCCAGGACTGGCACCCAGCCGTCCAGCTGGGCAGCAGCGGCCCTCAGGGACTCAGCAGGCGCCGGCAGGGTCTTGGGGTGAATAGAGGACATGCAGGGTGGGCTTCTGAGCCGAGACAGCCCTGCCTCAGAGTGACACTCAGGGCTGGGGCTGGGCCGCGGCCCAAGGCCCCCCGGGTATGAGTATGGCGGGGACTGCCCATACTCAGGCACCTTTCTCCCCACGTGAGCCTCCTTCAGGTTGCCCCCTGGGAAACTGGAAGATGAGGAGCTGGGTGCCAGTGGCTGCCTGGTTTGGTTTGCAGGAACTAAGCTCTTCTTTCTTCCCCTCTGCGAAGAAACGGGATTCTGACCTGGGGATTAAGACCGCTGAACTTCTGTGAGGGCAGTGAGGCCGAAAGTAGATCAGCTGTTGCCTAGAGCCAGGCAGGCGGGCGGGTGAGGAAAGTGTGGCTAAGGGCCGGGTCTCCCTCTGTGGTAGGGAAATGTTCTGAACGCTGGTGAGGGTTCGCGTGTCTGAAAACACTCACCCTCCAGCTCTGCACTTGAAATGATGAGGGGCCCCTGGGGCTGACTCCAGCTCTCCAGGCCCCCTTCTCCCCCCAGCCCTTGCTCCCTCCCGACAGCCTGAGGACAGCCCCCCCCCAGCTCGGAGGGACATGGAGGGACACAGCCAGGCCAGCCGTCCTTCCCCTGAGCCCGCCGCTCAGAGAACTTGCTCCTTACCCTGGGGAAAGGGCACAAAGGAGGTAGAGAGAAGCTTCTAGAGCAGAAGCCCCGCAGAGAAACCAGCCCTCAGCGAATCAGCAGCCCGGCTCACGCGCCCCAGTGTGAGGCTGAACTTTATTGCCAAGCAGGAGAGCGAGTTTTGCCTCCTTGTCTTTGTTTCTGTTTCTCTATACTGTGTGTTTTTTAGCTCAAAAGGACATAAATCGGGTTGAGTGGGTGAGGAGTTGACTTGGCATCGCTGGCCAGTGGGTGGGCTCTGTGGCTCATGTCTCCCCTCCCTGCCCCCTTGCAGGAACCATGTGGCTGGAAATTCTTCTCGCCTCCGTGCTCGGCTTTGTCATCTACTGGTTCGTCTCTCGGGACAAGGAGGAAACTCTGCCCCTTGGAGATGGGTGGTGGGGGCCTGGGGTGAGGCCCACAGCCACAGAGGATGAGAGCATCCGCCCCTTCAAGGTGACGACATCGGAGGAGGAGCTCAACGTAAGGCACCTTCCTGGGCAGGGCTGAGGGGAGGGGAGGGCAGGGCTGAGGGGAGGGGAGGGGAGGGCTGAGGGGAGGGGAGGGCAGGGCTGAGGGGAGGGCTGAGGGGAGGGGAGGGCAGGGCTGAGGGGAGGGGAGGGGAGGGCTGAGGGGAGGGGAGGGGAGGGCAGGGCTGAGGGGAGGGCTGAGGGGAGGGGAGGGCAGGGCTGAGGGGAGGGCTGAGGGGAGGGGAGGGCAGGGCTGAGGGGAGGGCTGAGGGGAGGGGAGAGAAGTACAGGGCTGAGAAGAGGGGAGGGGAGGGCTGAAGAGAGGGGAGTTTCCAGGGGTCTGGAGTCGGGACCAGGAGGGGCTGGGCTTGGAAACTGGTCCCCTTGGGAGTGTTTTCCTGTGTGCTGCGTGGCCTGGTGGGGGCCCGGTGGGTGCTGGTGGGGGCCAGCCGGCATAGGGTGCTGCAGAGAGGCCCAGGTCGCCCTCCCTGTCCCCTGCTCCTTCCTCCCAGCTTGCCTCTGCCTTTCCCCTAACCAAGGCCCTGAAGTTCCTGGGGCGGGAAACAGGTGCCACTTGGACCCAGTTACATGTGTCAAAGGTCCCAGTAGGCAGCTGATGCCACCCCCTTAGTGCCCCACCCAAAACCTTCAGAGAGCTTTGCAGCAGCGGGCACTCGGCGGGCCGGCGATCCCAGGAGAGGCAGCAAGCCCAGCGGACGCACAGTGCCCACGTGCCGGGCGGGGGGCCGAGCCCCGCGCTGTGGGCCCTGTGGCCACACTCAGCCCCTGGGCCTCTGTCCCCAGCGCTGTCGCCTCTGGGAGATGCAGAAGCGGACGCTGGGGGAAGCGGTTGGTCCGGGTGATGAGACGGGCAGACTGGTCTCCTGCCCAGGGAAGGCCTGAGAAGTGGGCGGACTGAGCTTAGGGCTCAGCTTCACCCCAGGAGGAGGAGGAGCTGCCCCGAGGCGAGACAAGGAAAGGGGGGGCCGGGGAATGAAAGAGTCCTGGGATAGCTGCCTAGGAGGACCCACGGGGGAGGCTTACGGAGCAGAACTGGGCCGCGACCCGAGAAACAGGCCGACTCTCCGGCCGGAGGTGACCAGGCCTGCGGCTGAGAGCGGAGGCTGGACGTGGGGCGAGCGTCAGGGAGGAAGCGCTGGAGAGGGGACGCCCGGGAGACCCAGGGGCCAACCTGGACGCCCCCAGGCGGGGCCTGATGCAGACCCCCGGCCCGGGCCACGAGTGGCTTTACGCCTCTCCGTGGTTAAAAAAAAAAGTAAAAACACCTCTGTGGCGTGAACTGAGATGACCAGACTCCGTCCGTGCGTCAGGCCTCACGGGCAGCCTCCGGGGCCGCCCAAAGGCAGGCAGGGCCGGTCGCGGCAGCCCAAAAAGCCGCCAGTATCCTGTCTGACCTTTTCCCGAAAGAAGCCGGCCGGCCGCTCTGGGGTAAATCAAAGCCGCTGACTGCTGCACGTGTCTTCCACGCGCTGAGGAGGAACACCTGCGGCTGGGCCACGCCTGGAGGCAGCCTGGGGCACGGGGGAGGGTGGCTGAGGGCGCCCGCCCCTCGCCGCCCGCCCCTGGCGCGATGCCTGCTGGTCCGGGGCTGCGCTGGCCTCTGGGCACAGCCCTCTGCTCAGCGCCCTCTCCTTGGGTCCCGCGGGTTGCCCAGGACTTACGCCAGCGGCTGGAGAAGACCCGCTTCGCCCCGCCTTTGGAGGACAGCCGCTTCCACTACGGCTTCAACTCCAACTACCTGAAGAAAGTGGTCGCCTACTGGCAGAAGCAGTTCGACTGGAGGAAGCAGGTGGAGATACTCAACGGATACCCTCACTTCAAGACGCAGATCGAAGGTCTGTCTCTAACACGGCAGCTGGGGGGGTGCGGGCCTCGGGGTGAGGGGTGTTAGCCGCCAGGCCTGACTGAAACAGGTGGGGACACAGTCACTGAAGTGTCTGTGTGAGGTGTGGCTTCACCAGGACGTAAAAGTCACACAAAATGCCGTCTGCAGAACGAGACGGGAAAACACCCAGGTAATTTCAAAACCAAAGAAGGGTAGAATGCACTGGAGAGCTGGAACCGGCTTGCAGACGATGGAGACGAGACTCAGACCGGACAGGGCCCGGTCGGGTAACCCTGCTCGAGCAGAGTGCGTGCGCTGTGACTGCTCCGAGGGCTGAGACCACCGTCCTCTGGCGCTAGGCCGCATGACCCCACTGCGCCCAGGTGGTCACCCCGCTTCACCGGGGAGAGAAGCCGCCCCTCATTGAGTTTCCTTGGGACGGCACCTGCAGGGTCATTTGGGGTGGGGTCGTTGTTGCCTGGATGGAAAAGCATTTTTTTATTTTCTTTAAAGATGTATTTATTTATGCCTACAGAACTGGGGTGCAGGCCAGAGGTGGGGGGGGTGAGGGGCTTCACCAGAGACAGAGCGGGGAGCAGAACAGGCAGATGGGCGAAGTACGCTGCCGAGGGGCGCAGCGGGCGGGTCAGGAGAGGTCAGGAGAGGTCTGCCGCGCCCTGCGGTCACTCTGGGGCAGGCGGGGATCGAACTCGCGCTGAAGCGGCTGCGGCTGTGGCTGCCTGCAGTGCTGCACTCTAACCTGCCGCGCCCCCAGGGAGGGCGCGGTACCTAGACCTGCAGTATTTGCTGTTGGGAGCTGGCTTGCCTCCCCCAGGTCACGGCCTCCAGTGTCGTAGTGGGCCCGTGTAGGAATTTCCTTCCCTTTGAAAGTCGGGTGATACCCTGCTGTGCGGGTCTGGCGGGCCTGTGCCTCCTCTCACCTGTCCGCGGACACTCGTCTCCGGGCTGCCACGGCCAGTTGCCCCTACAGCTGCCACGAGCACAGTGGCACCAACACCCGTTGATTTCTGCTTTCTGCCTGCGAGACGTACCCAGGAGTGCAGCTGCAGGGTCGAGCGGCGATTCTGTGCTGACGGAGTTACTGAGGAGCCGTCAGGCTGCTTCCAGTGCAGACTGCCCCGGTGACCCCTGCGGCAGTCCGGCCCCATCCTGGCTGTCCCAGTAGCCAAGCATCGCCCCGTGGTGGTTTTGGGGTGCACTTCTCTAGCCGCTAGTGCCATAGAGCGTCTTCCCACATGCTCGTAGCCTGTCTGTCTGCTTTGGAGAAGGGCGAGTGTCCGCTTCTGAATTGAGTTTCTTGGTTTTGTTGCTGAGTGTTCTAGTTCTCTTTAAATCCTGAATATTAGTTCCGTATGTGATAATACAACCTGCACGCTTCCTCCCAGTCTGGTGACCGTACTACTCAGTTTTCATGCTGAGAAAAGTGTGCGCGTTTAGCATTTCGAATGCTTGTGCTGTTTGAGCAGATTTGGCCTTTTCAAGTAACAGATAAACCTTTTGCATCTAATGTAAAACGTGTGTGGATTTAGACCTGGACTTTACCTGGGAGTCTTACTGGGCTGATACTAGTACTTGGAAGATTTCAGTCTCGCGCACTGATAAATTTAATTTATTAAAATTCTAAGAATGACTTAAAGAATGTACAAGCCATATTAGTCAGATCCACTAACGCGCTTTAAGAGAAAATTGAAGTTATACAGTGTCTAGAGGAAGACCAAGCACTTAGAAACGCGGCCCCCCATTAATCCAAGGTCCCCGGAGAGTGACTGTCACCACCTGCTAGATTAATATAGAGAATAAGATTGATGAGCTGAACGCCACTGCTCAATGAAGAACTAGATCTTTCCATGTGTGACTTTAAATTGGAGAATACTTTTAAAAGGCAGAGTCATCTCTGAACATTCTCTTTTGCTCTGGAAACTACACTCGAGGTCACTAGAAAGCTCTCAGGGGTGGGGTGCTGGATGCTCCCTGGTGCTTGTCTCGTGATGAGGGAGTCTCACTCCCGCAGGGTGGCTGTGGGGACAGCACCCAAGGGCGGGAGAAACCCTGGCCAGGGGCCGCCTGGTCAGCTGGTGTTCTCTCCTCCAGGCGGGAGGGGCCGGGTCTGGGGAGCCCGGGGAGAAAAGACAGGAAGAATTCAGTGTCCTGGGGCAGGAGCCCCGCGGGCACCGAGCCAGGCGCACTGAACGGTGGCTTCTGAGCCGGACTCGGGCCCTCACCAGGGCCGCTGTGCCGTGGAGGGACGCCGATGCCTGTGCCGCCAGCCTGCAAGAGATCCCCAGCCAGGCCCTGCGGCTCAGCCGGCCCTTGGATTGGCCAGGGCTCACCTTCAGGTGGAGATTTTTCAATAAACCCAGCACCCCTCCGTGTCCACCCCAGAGGTCAGTTGGTGAATCCATTATGGTGGACCCCGCAGTGGAGGAGGCCGGTCACAAGGTGCTTGAGCAGCTGCAGATTTGGTATGCGAAGGGGGACCCTGAATCTAGGGATGGCTGTTTGGGGAGACTCAAAAGTTACATGTGGGTTTTCTTTTTTTTTTTAAAGATGTATTTATGCACACAAGAACTGGGGTGCACGCAGAGGTGCTGGGGGTGAGAGGACTCGCCAGAGACAGAGCGGGGAGCAGATGGACTGAAATACACTGCTGAGGGGAGCAGCGGGCAGTCAGGAGAGGTCTGCCGCGCCCTGGGGTCACCTCCGGGGCAGGCGGGGATCGAACTGGTGCTGGAGTGGCTTTGGCTTCTCAGTGCTGCGCTCTCACCCGCTGCCCCCAGGGAGGGCCGCTTCCTTCATTTTTAAATTCAGAAACGACAGAGAACACAGGGTGGAAGGAGGGTCCCTCCGCCCTCCCCCCAGCCCGCTTCCGGCCCCGGGAAGCCGCTGCTGCTTTTCTGTACAATCCCAGGCGTGGCCCCAGCGCACGCAACACACATGTACTTTTTTCTCATTTTAAACTCAAATAATGAGATATGATTTCAATTAAAAATAATCTCACACCATGCAGCGTGTTCCAAAGGAAATAAGATTACCTGCTAAAATCAACTTCAGAATAGAAGTAAATTTAGCAGCCTAGAAGGACACGCAGGATATATTGTTAAATGGAAAAAAGAAGGTTCCGAAATAGACTGTGCGCAGGGTTCTATTTTGGTTAAAAGAAAATTATGTTCCCAAAGTATTTTTTTTAAGTCTGAACTGCCAGAGCCACCAGGGATCCGAGGGGGCCAAGTGCCCCGCGCTGTCCTGGATGCAATCCTGGGGCAGAACGGAGCCGGTAGCTGGGCACCGGGGCGATCTGAGCGGCACCCCAGGGTGAGGTGCCAGTGTCTGTCCGCGGGCTGCCACAACGTGGATGAATCTCGAAGACGAGACGCTCGGTGAAATGAGGGGGGCAGCAGGACACAGGCGCCCCACGGCTGAGTACACGCAGACCGAGGTGGCCAGGCCGCCTGGGGGGGGCGCGGGGCTCAGCACCCCGCTGCCTCCCGCCCTCCCCGCAAGGGGCTGCTTCCACAGGGGCCCCGGAGGGCAGGGCCCAGCCTGCCCTGACGGGGGACGTTTCTGTTGGAGCCGCCCTGGTGGCCCGGGGTTGAAGCCTCAGCGCTAGCGAGCTGTGGCCACCCGGCCTGAGTTCGATCCCGGCCAGGCGGACCCCCGGCGCCGCAGACCCCTCCTGGCTCCCCGCTGCCCCCTCAGCGGTGTGCTTCGGGCCTTCCTGTTCTGCTCCCGCTCCGGCTCTGGCGGGTCCTCTCCTCCACCACCTCTGGCCCGCGCCCCACTTCTTGTCCGCCTCCGTGCGCCCCCCTCCCACCAGCGTTGAAGTCATGAAACAGGTTTCTTGGGCGCCGCCGCCAGTCATGGCGGCTCCGTGCGTGCGTCGGCGCTCGGACGGCCCCGGCCCACCCGCGACGCGAGAGGGGTCATCGCAGCCTCCTCCGCAGGGTGGCCGCGAAGGCCACGCGGGGCCCCACACGGCTGGGCAGGGAGGGCGGCGGCCGGCGAGGCGCCAGTTCCACCGCTGGGCTGCAGAGGGCGCCAAGCGGCCCCTTTCCCTGCAGGCTCAAGTTGGGGATGTGGGGGGCCCAGGACTCCCACCCTGACTGTGCTCTGTCCCCCCAGGCCTGGACATCCACTTCATCCACGTGAAGCCCCCCCAGCCGCCCTCTGGCGGTACCCCAAAACCCTTGTTGATGGTCCATGGCTGGCCAGGCTCCTTCTACGAGTTCTATAAGATAATCCCACTCCTGACGGACCCCAAGAACCACGGCCTAAGTGAGGACCACGTGTTCGAGGTCATCTGCCCTTCCATTCCCGGCTATGGCTTCTCAGAGGCGTCCGCCAAGAAAGGTATTGGGGGCCCCGGCGTGTTTTTCCACCAGGTTCTTCCCGGATGAGGCAGGACTTGCTGGACGGCCTCCTCGGGTTCTGGGGAGCGGGGAGCGGGTCACGGGCACGGCCGGCCACTGTGTGCTCAGGGGCTCCCCACTTGGGCGGGTCCGCATCTGGTCAGCTGACCGAGGGCCTAGCAGGGCCGGCCTGAGCCCCCCGCAGCCGGCGCCCACTCGCTGCCCGCCTCCAGAAGCAGCAGCAGCCAGCACCTTTGGGCCTCGGGCTCAGCACCTCCTGGAGCTGCTCTCACTGGCCGGGGAGGGGCACGGGGACTCTCCCGGGACGCCAGGAGGCCCCACGAACGCCCTTTCCTTCTCCCTTCACAACTAGGTTTTAACTCAGTGGCCACAGCCAGAATCTTCTACAAGCTGATGCTGCGTCTGGGCTTCCAGGAATTCTATCTGCAAGGCGGGGACTGGGGCTCCCTGGTCTGTACCAACATAGCCCAGCTGGTGCCCAGGTGAGGGTCCCCACCCTGTGCATGGGGGGGCAGCCTACGTGGAGCCGGGGGCAGAGTGTGGGGCCCCGGGTCACTTGTCTGCGCCAGGACTGCCTCTCTGACCGGGTGCCCAGGCAGAGGCCAGTGGAGGAGGTGGACGTTAGCCAGTACATCTTTCTGATGAGCTGAGCCCTGGGAGAAGCTTGGCTGGAACGTTCTAGAAACTTTGTATTCCCCCTCCCTCCACCGTATGTGGCCACACAGGCGAGCAGGCAAATGCTAAAGGACGCTGGACGTGCCCCTCGGCCTCCTCGGCGTCCCTCCCCCGCTCACCTCTTCCTGCCCCTTCCTGACGCCAGCCCAGCCTCACCTGCCTCTCTCCCCCGCAGACACGTGAAAGGCCTGCACCTGAACATGGCCTTCGTTTCAAGAAACGTCCACCTCCTGGCCCTTCCCTTCACCCGGCACTTCCCGGGGTTCTTTGGCTACACCAAGAGGGACATGGAGCTGATGTGCCCGCTCAAGGAGAAGATCTTCCACAGCTTATTGAGGGAGAGTGGGTACATGCACATCCAGGGCACCAAGCCGGACACCGTAGGTGAGCACCGAGGGCGGCCGCCCCAGGGCAGGGATCCCAGGGCAGGAGCGGCCGCCCCAGGGCGGCCCACCCGAGGCCTTCCCCAGCCAGGGAGGGGCGCCCCCTCCATTCCATCCAGGGGGGCTCCCAGAGACGCTGCTCACAGCTTGGGGCCTCTTGTAAGAAGCTCGGGGCTCGTTCACACCTTCAGCTGCAGCTCTCCTAGCAGTGAGTCCACACAGTGGACGCCCCCCCCGGCCGGTCCAGCCTCAGAGCGACTGGTTCCTCCATCCGAGCAGTGAGTCCACACAGTGGACGCCCCCCCTGGCCGGTCCAGCCTCAGAGCGACTGGTTCCTCCATCCGAGCCCAGGTCCGACAGGGGAAAGCAGAGGGGTGGGGAGAGGTGGCCTGGCAGCTCTGTAACGGGGGGAACGTAGGGTGTGCCGGGAGACCCCCCCACAGGGCCCAACACCCATTTCTGCCACCAGGGACCTGTTCTGGGATAAAAAACAAGTAAAAACATCCAGAAAACAGCAAGATTGTACACATATATAGTGGTACTTAGACACTCGTCTTTAAAGATTTTACTTAGTTAATAAAGGACCCAGCGAAGATAAAGTCCAGGCCAGTAGGACACTGAAATTAGCTCGCAGACAGAATCCCTTGAGGTTCACTGAGTGACCATCAGTGAAACCGCCGATGACTCTGCCCCGTTTCACGGAGCTACAGCCGACCAAGCCCAAGTCGGGGTGTGCGACCTGGTGTCGCCTCACCCGTCACGGAAGGACGGCCCAGCGAGCTTGGCCAACGGCCACCTGCTCACCCGCGTGTGGGGGGGGTGGGGGGGTCCTGTGGCGGGAACTTTTCGGACCTGCCCATTGCGCAAAATTGATGCGCTTCTCTGAAAACCGGACGGTCCACCCCACGGCCCGAGACAGCGAGCTGAGTCTCCCTGCCTCTGCCTCCAGGCTGCGGTCTGAACGACTCTCCTGTGGGCCTGGCCGCCTATATCCTAGAGAAGTTTTCCACCTGGACCAACTCGGAGTTCCGCGACCTGGAGGATGGCGGCCTGGACAGGTGAGCGGCCGACCCTCTCCTTCCCGCCTCCCGCCGCTCGCTTCACGTCGGGATGTCGGTCAGCTCCGCCCAAGTCCTCGGCCTGTGACCGGGGAGCCCCCATGTCTGGGCGAGGCTCCCTCACTCTGAGCGTCACGGGGCGCAGTACAGGCAGCTAGACAGCCCTCGGGGGAGCCCGGCACCCCTTCACTGCAAGGACGGAGCAGCAGCCTGGCATCACTGCTCCGCGGGAGCCGACCCCGAAGCGGGGCCGCAGGAAGGTCGGGGGCTTGAGGCTGTGGCCGCCGCCCCCGGCCCGGCCCGAGGCAGGTTCCTGAGCCTCCAGCCACCTTCTCCAGGCCCATCCTTTCCTTGGTTCCTTCAGAACCTACGGCTGGGGGCTCTGGGGGAGGTGTCCGCCCGCTCTCAGTGAAGTCAGGCGCTGGAGCCGCGGGCTGGGTCTCAGCAGCGTAGACAGCAGCCTGCGGGGTGCCGGGGCGTGCCAGCGGGCAGCCAGGCGCCTCCAGGCTGACAGGCTCAGCATGGGGTGAGGGGGCGCCTGGGGGCTCCATGTGACACTGAGGCTGTGGGGGGAGGGCAGGGAGGGCCCCAGCCGGGTCAGCGAGTCCAGCAGGGCAGCTCCATGGCCTCGGCCTGTCGGAGGCCAGCTGGGCGGTGCGCGGCCGTGGCTGGGTGAGCGGCAGCTGAGGCCCGAGACGGGTCGTCAGGCACCCCCTGGCGGGGCTGGGGTCCCCCTGGGCCCGGTCGTCGCTGGGGTCTGGGTGGCAGGAGACCCCAGGGCGAGTGCCAGGCAGTGCCGGGCAGGACGTGCTGCTGGGTCTGGGCGCGGGGCAGCAGGCCGAGGAGGCATAGCCAGAGGGCTGAGGCCCCGCAGCGAGGGGCCAGGCGGCCAGGCCGTGGCGGGCGGAGGCCTGGACCCTGAGCCGGGGGGGTCCAGCCCTGGCCAGCAGCCCCCGCGCGCCAGCCGTGACCCCACAGCCGCGGCCCCCCATCCCGACCACAGGGAGGGTCTTGCCTCGGACACGGGCCTGTTGGGAAGCACCGGGCAGCTGCCGGCCGGCAAAGGACAGCCCCCCCCCCCCCCCGGAGCTGCGCAGCCTCGGACGCCTGCCTGGGGCAGGTCCGGCGTCTGCAGCCCCGGGCCGGTTCTGCCAGCCGGGCAGGGCTGAGCCACCCGAGCGGACCCGGGGTGGCCTGCACGGCGGCCGGGAGTGGACACCCACAGCCGCCCCGAGCGGGCAGACACCCGGTAGTGGTCCCGGTTCGGCTCACCGGCTGCTCACCCGGGTGGGGGCGGGGCGGCTGGCGCCTCCCGGGGGCGGCAGGGCCAGCAGAGCCTGCTTCTCCTCAGGAGGACGCTGGGGCCCCGGGCAGGGCCTGCTGCGGCCCGGGACACCCCCGCCGAGGACCCCCGAGGCCTGCGAAGGGCACAGGCTGGCGGCTCTCGCTGCGGACCTGTGCCTGGCACTGAGGCCTCTGCCCTGCCCCCAGGAAGTTCTCCCTGGATGATCTGCTGACCAACGTCATGCTCTACTGGACAACGGGCAGCATCGTCTCCTCGCAGCGCTACTACAAGGAGAACCTGGGACACAACATCATGACCCAGAAGCACCAGCAGTAAGCCTGGCCGGCGGGGCCCCCAGGGCGACGGGGAGCGCACAGCCTGGCTGTCGGGGTGCTCGCCGTCTGGGGTGATCGGGATGTGCAGAGACACCCGTGTGCCTCTGGAGCGCGCGGGGAGGCGCCTGCCCGGCCCCAGACGCCCCAGAGAGCTGCCCCTCACCAGGGTGCTGGCGACGGGTCCTGCCCACGCTCGTCCCTGTGGGCCCTGGTGGTGGGAGCCCCCAGTCTGTCCTGTCTCCATGCGGACGGCAGGTGGACGCTCCCAGACCCGAAGCCCCTGCCCCGGGGGAGCGAGGCGGCCAGGCCACCGCCTCACCCCGTGGGTCTCTGTCCCTTCCAGGATGAAGGTCTCCGTGCCCACCGGCTTCGCTGCCTTCCCTTGTGAAATACTACACACCCCAGAAAAGTGGGTGAGGGTCAAGTACCCGAAACTCATCTCCTACTCCTACATGGCCCGAGGGGGCCACTTCGGCGCGTTCGAGGAGCCGGAGCTGCTCGCCCGGGACATCCGCAAGTTCGTGGCGCTGCGGGAGCGGCAGTGACCCCTCGGGACGGCCCTCGCTGGCTGCTGCCCTCCGCCGGAGGCCCACATCCAGGGGCAGCCCCCGGCCTGCACCGGTGCAGAGGCCCCATTCTGAGAAACAGGTCTGCGTCCACCCTGCATGCGGGAACCCCACGCTCACCCCCCTGGCCGTGCACCCCCTGCCCCCACCACATGCACACGGGTGTCAAGCAACGAGGCTTCGATGATAAATGAGTTTACTTGTGAGAGCGGCTGGAGCCAGTGACGCGTGCGTGTCTGTCCCCCAGGGGTCGCCTTGCAGGGCGGCCTCGGGGAGCAGGACCCAGCGGGCCCCGCTGGGGGTGGGGGAGCCCTGAAGCGAGCCATTGCTCTAGGGACCAGGGCGGGTCTGCACCCCCATGCCTGCACTGAGCCCCCACTGCCTGCCCCCCACACCCCCGTCCTTGCAGGAGCACACCGGCCCCAGGGTCTCACGGGGAGAAAGGGTGAGAGGCTGCGGGGGTCCCCGAGGGGACGCGGCTCCCCGGCCATGCCCCCCCTCCTCCTGAGGCAGATGGGGGGGGCTGGACCAAATGGGCACATCACCAGTGGGCCCCCCCGTCCCTGCCCAGACACTGGCTGGACACACAGAACCACGTGGCACAGTTGGGGTGCACTAGCCACACCTGCCCGCCGCCGCAGTCCCCCATGCCGGGGTGGGGAGAGCGGCTTCGTGCAGAGGGGAAGCTGGGACCGGCCTGGGTGTGCTTCGGGCGCCCGGGCTGTCTGGCAGGTGGTGGCGGGGCAAGGTCTTGCGGGCCACGCCCTCCCGCCCCGGCAGCTCGCAGGCTGCAGGCTGGACCTTGCTGCGCGTGACCCAGCCACGCAGCAGGAAGG